AGCTCATTAACATTTAAAGGAAAATGCTACAAAAATGGCTTGATCTGAAAAGAGCTGTTTTTGACAGGGTAAAAAAATGTGTTTTTTACACTACCATTGAGACATTTTAACCAAACTATGTTACAGACTTTTCATTAAGACCCTAAAGAATCATATCAACTTGTGGAAAATGGGCATCCTATGACCCCTTTAAGAGTGAGGCCATCAGCTGTCGCCCACATACAGTACATTATCAGGACTTGTCACTTTTTGAGTTGAACAGAACTTACAATTCCTGTGTTTCTCTGTGTGTGTCTAGGATACCCTGCGGGAATGTAAAAATGACAAATGCCTGAGTTACCTGCCGCTTTTGTCGCCTCTGTACTTTGTGACATTCGTGCTGATAGCACAGTTTGTGCTGGTGAATGTTGTGGTCGCTGTGCTCATGAAACATTTAGAGGACAGTAACAAAGATGCCCGTGAGGAGGCCGAGATGGAGGCGGAGTTGAAGAAAGAGCTTCATGGCAGTCGTAGACAAAGCACCGCCTCTGTAGGCGGAGCCACTGGGCTTGAGGTTTCAGCTGTTAAAATTGAGACTTTCTCACATGAACAGGTGAGTTCTGTACGTTGTTTAAAAACCTTTCTATATAAGGCCATGTGTTGACAGTTCTCTTGAAAATATTATGCCATGCAACCCCCCAAATATATTTAATAGATATTATTAGAATAATGCTAAATGTATTTTAGATATTTTTACCATGAGAAAATCAAATCTGAAAGTTTAGTTTACTATACTTGAATCTTGGGTGAAGGTTATTAGAAAAGGCTTAAATGTTTTTGTTTTTTTTAAAGTAGTAGTAAAAGTAGTAAAAAGTAGTCTTTGTTAATGTCTAAATATATATCTAATTGGAAAACCTAATAAAACTAAGTAGTTATGTCAGAAAATGTTTTTTCTATATTTATAATATTTTATCTAGAAATAGTGCATAATTTAGAGGTCCCTTCAAAATACAACATGTTAAAGAATAACAATCATTGGGAAAAAAACGATATTTATTTAATTAAAACATGCTCTTAATCAGGGGTGGGCAAACTTGGCCCTTCCAGGTCACTTTCCTTCAGAGTTTAGCTCCAACTCTAATCAAACACACCTGAACCAGCTAATCATTGTCTTCAAGACTACTAGAAAGCTACAGGCAGGTGAGTTTTATCAGGGTTGGATCAAAATCTCTGCAGGAAAGTGGCCTGGAAGGGCCAAGTTTGCCCATCACTGCTCTTAATCTTATTGTCTTAAGTCTATTTTCACTGCCAAGGATCACAAGTGTGACCCCTACTGAGGAATACCATAGGGTTAAAAATAAATCTGTAGTAAAATTTTAAAGTCAACATGTAAAGTTTTAAAGGGCATTGTAATATGTAATTTTATATGATAATAATTGTCATTATTATTATATAAATATTGCAGGTTTTTTAAGAATATGTAGTGTCTTCAAGCCTGCTTTTAAGTAACTGAAAAACGTTACTGTTTGTTACATACATTTGTTGTGTTTACAGGGCCAAGACCCCAATTATGGCAACTTCCTGACAGTTAGCAGGCCATCTATATCACGGGTGCTGTCCTTACCTAATGACAGTTACATGCTCTATCCTGTTAAGCCTGTATATAGGTCCATTCAGGAGAGATTCTCCAAGCAGGATTCTACACTACCAGGTGACAAAACGAAGCCAATTTTTACTGGCCATGGCACACGTGCAGAGAGAGAATATGACTAAAGCTGTCTGTGTATTCTTTAGGCTCCTCTCTCTCACTCGGCACCCAGCCCTTTGAAGATAGTGCCGTAATGCAGGTTCCAGGAACTGCATCTCAGACAAACCTGGCCTCCATTCCTGGTCCCCACCCTCTAAATCAAAGAGCAAGATCTAGCAATGCCTTCAGAGCCCTGCGGAGACAGGTACTGCAGCAACTCTTATCCTCATGACTATTTGTTTATACTAGGGATGACAACAGATTACATCTATTAGACATTTACAATGAAATGCTTTGTCACTAATGAAACAAGAATTGTGACATTGATCAAGTGAACATTTATACAAAAGGACAGATGTTCTTACTTACATTGGATCAAATCTCAAATCAGGCTGAGAACATTATCATCAGATTTTACACAAACTTTACACAAAGGTTTATGCTGCTGTCATCAAAGCAAAAGAGAGACAAACCAAATACTAAAACATTCTGAAAATCATGCTAATTGTTATGCTAATAATATAATTCAAATTTAATTGTAACTATATACACTATTGATGATGTATTTATTTAATTTAATATAATTTAATATAATGATATAATTCTTATGTAATTGTAACTAAATACATATATATAATTACATCAAATATTACACACAAATATATATAGAATTTTGTTAATTAGTGTTTAATCTATCATTAATTAGTGTTTGATCTATCTAAATGAATATAAAATTATATCAAATATATATAGAAAAAAATTATTTTGTATAAAATGTAAATAAATATCTGTTTATTTAAAATATATTTAACCTATAATCTAAATTAAGATATAATTAATAATATAAAAAATAACATAAATAAATATATGTAATTAAAGAACACATAATTTAATCTATATTCAATTAAAATATATTTAATATTATTTTGTATTAAATTAGGTATTAAATTAAATATGTTTTAAATAAATAGATTAAATCTATTTTGCATTATATTAAAAATAGCATTCAAAATTGTCATGTAATGAATCGTTTTTAAATGCTTGTACTTACATCTGTTTTTACCTGCAGCAAGCAATAAAGAGTGACTCGATTGATTCCACAAACGCTGACTCCAGAGATACCTTACACATCCCGAGCAAGCCCTGCTCCACTGATAATCTTCATCTCAAAGTACCCAGCATTCCCCTCACTGGTGGATCTGCCCCCTGTTCGCCCCAGGCCTCACCCCCTCCTCCCCTCCGCAACCGGACAGCGAGCGTACAAACAAACAGACATGTGTACAGCCAGCGCAGCATCCCCTGTCGACAGGCCTCGTACAAGACGCAATCTATAAAACCTCTTGAAATAACACACGCACAAACCAAACTACAGGATTCGGATGAGGTGGTCCGACTCAACATGAACATTACCCAAATAAGAGCCTCTCAGCGTGTGGCACGCAGCTATAATTTGTCCCCTTATGAACCCTTGCACAGTGGGGCGGCCCGCCAACCGGATACCAGCGCTCAAAGTCTACGGAAGTACAACAGTATGGAAAATAATGGCTTCCTATCTCAACTCCACATCCCTCGGCGTCACTCGACGCACGGGGAAGAGTTACTGCTTCAGCAGCAGCCAATTTCACCATCACCTGGACCTTCTCCAATGCCCAAGAAGGAGAAAATGAGCCCGCCGTGCATCTCCATCGACCCTCCTACCGACGCGGCGTTTCTCTCGCCAGCGGTCAGTCAGGAGCATAGCACAGTCCTAAGACGGCGGACACCGGCCTTCGATTCCTCACTACCACGGGAGTCCATAGAACTTCCTGATATGCAGGATGAACCTCTTTTGCCAAGTCATTTGCCCCTCCCACAATTCTCTTTTGACCAATCGGATGTATGTTCGCTGAGCAGCCTGTCAGAACTGCTTTCAGATAGTGACCAGTCAACGCACTCCTTCCCTCCTGAGGCCCGTTCGGGGGTCGTGGGAGATGCATCTCAGAGTCCACTCAGGAAGATGGTATTGGTCAGAATGGCCAGCACTAGGGATCCAGGAAATGAGGATTCGGTTGCCTAGGCGACTGTGCAGGAAGCCACTTACGCATTCTGCCTCTTCGCAAAGCATTTTAATAACAGGAAGAGGTGGTGTCGGCAAAAGTATGCAAATGTGTTTCTGATGGAACTGATGTTTTTTGCCTGATCATATTGATTAGGGAACTTTTATTAGTGTTCATCACACACGTTGATATTGTGACGTTTTATCAGAGAAACATGTTGCATTGTGGCATATGATTACTGTACATGATGGTGCAAATTTAACCCTCATATTTTGTTTGGGGTCTGAATGGTTGATAATTTAATAGCCAAAAAAAAGTGTTATTTAAAGTTATTCTGTAAAGCCTGGCAAAAGAATAATATTTAGAAAAATATATATATTTTTTTTTTTGGAAGTTTATTGAACCTTTAGAGAAAATATGAAAACAAAAATCTAAAAAAAGTTTGCATATGTGTTTTTTGTTGAGTATCATATTTGATACATCAGGTTTTTATGGCTCATATAGTATAATATAGGAGAATATGGAGCTCACACGTGATTTTTATGGCCAGAATGTAAGATGAAAGTCTGATAGCTTGTAATATAAAGTCGATGAGATCTTTATACAGACTACTTACATACAATGTATATAATTATCAGTTGTCACTTTATACTGTATCTCCTTATAATATGTCTCAGTAGGATGATATCTAAATTAGTGCTGTCAATCGATTAAAAAAAATTACTAATCACATTTTTTCTGAAATTAATCGTGATTAATCCCACCTAACATTAAAGTTTTAAAATTTACTTTTATATTGCAATAATTTCACATTCAATCTTCAAATTAATGTAGAAACAACATAAAGACAGTATATTTTTCATATTTGTCTACTGGCATCTTTTTTTATGACTGATACCAATACTATATGATGTCTCTATGAAATCATTTTTTTCTAAATCTAATATTTAACCATTGATTATAGCCATTCAACATTACAGTATAATTGAGAGCTATCAATTTTAAAATTTATTAGACTTTAAAAAGTAACAACTTCTCATTTAAGTGAACTTAAACCAATCTTCACATAAACCCATTATAATAAATGTCATATTTAGCTACCTGTGCCCTTCAGCAAGTAGGAAATATACAGAAATTGAATATAGTTATCGAATTCTAAATTCTACATTAAATATAGATGAATCCTTAAAGCTACAAAAGTTATTGATTTCCTCCTTTTCTTTTGTTCTTTGATTAACAGACATCATAGCAGTTGGGTTATTAAGTTATTTTGGCTGCTTTAAGAGCTGCCGCTGCTGAACATGACGCGGATCTGACACGCATCGTATTTTCTCACAGCTCTTTACCTTTTCTGACCCACTTCAGCTCTTAAAGTCTCTAGTAATGAGCTGATGAGTTGAATCGGGTGTGTTCCTGAGGAGCTGAATGAGGGAGACAGTGCTGGGGTATCAAGGACAGTTTTTAAAACCGCTGCATTTCAGAGACATGTTCTTAAATCTGACTCATATACATGCATGCACAGTTTTAAGGCAGCTTTAATCGCCTTTTTGGTAACTTCATGACTTAGGCTAACTGACGACATAACTACGACATTGCATGCTCGTAGTTTATTTTGCGCTTTAACATGATATAATATACAGAGCGCACCGTCACATTTGTGTGTGCAATTGAAGAGCACGTGCTACGAGCACAGTATAACGGCTGACAGGACAGGAAATTTGGTTTTTACTGACATATGGCCTGACAACATCTCATCTGACCGCAGTTCACTGTTGTTCTACTGAAGCTCCCTCTTCACCTGTAACCAGAAGCAGCAGTTGTGAGTGGGGTGGCTAACCCTGACTTCGCCCCTGCGTTAATTGCATTAAATATTTTTAACTCATTAAACTGAAAAAAATACTTGTATGCGTTAACGCATTAATTTTGACAGCACTAATATAAATGCATAGGTTTATGATCAAAGCTCTGTAGTTTTATTGTGGGAGCAAAACATATAATGCAATGCAATACAGTGAAGATTGAGACATTGTATGAACAAATGTTCCTCAAAAGCCCGATGTATCATATCTGATACTCACATCTTAACATATTTTTCAAAAAATTATGTATTAATAATCAAGTAAACCATAGTTGCTTCAGTCAGTAAATGTTCATCTTGAAATATTACTAAAAATATAACAATTCAGCCCTCTACGGACACCTTGGCAATTGAATCGCGCGTCAATTCTCTCTCTCTCTCTCTCTCTCTCTCTCTCTCTCTCTCTCTCTCTCTCTCTCTCTCTCTGCGTGTGTGTGAAACAAAGCGACGGGGAGTCGTGCGCCTTCGCACTAGAGTTTACGGTACGTTAAATACAGGTGCGTTGCACATCCATACAGCACAGATCGCTTGACGGAGAGTGAAACTGAAGCGCTCAGTCAGAGTGTTCTGTGAGTGAAAATATATCTGGGCTACACTTAACCTCCAACTCACACACTGGCGAGTAAAATCTGAGAATTTATTAGCCATTGGCTAATATTAGACATAATTTAGTCGCCCAGAGTAAGATTTAGTCGCATATGCGAGTGATTTACTCGCAATGTAGAGGGTTGCGAATTATTCTTAAGTTTACTTTATCAAATTCAGTAAAGATTTCACAGCAAAAAAAACACATGAACCATGACCTGAATGAGGATAATTTTTTTTTTTTTTTACACAAATTGTCATTCATCATTTGTGTGACAGACATGAATGACACCTCGAATCATGCAGAAGTGTAGTTTTGCTTTTTTAAAATATTACATTTCTATCTTGCGCTGGTAAAAAAAAAAAAAAAAAAACAAGATTTGTTAAGAAATTGTAAAAATCTATTTATTTTTCAACAGATTTTCACCCCAAACATAAATAAAAAAACTTGTACTAGATAATATTCAGCTGTCAATGTGCATGCCAAATGTATGTTCAAACAGAGGGTTTTAAAGGCTTCAATGATATCTGCTTTGACTAGGTCAGAGTAAAAGAATAAAATAATTTGAAGGGAAATTAGCTAATTTTTAAGTTGTTATTATTAGCAAGTCAATCTCAATAGAACTTGAGGGTTAAATGGCAGCACTATGTCTCATCTTCAAACAAACCCTTCTCTCATATGATTAATTAACTTTAAAGTTATACCCTAATTGTAACGCCCTGTTGTCTTACAGAGTAAGTATATGACACATAGAAATATTTTAGCTGAAACATATGCATGTTTCATAATGCAGATTGTGTAGCTGAATGAATGAAATGATTATTGTATATCTGTGTGGCATGTGATTCTTTTGTAAAGGGTCAGAGTTTTACATGTTATTGGCCTTCAGGAAGAAACATATTAAAGGAATGTTCCGGGTTCAAGTTCTACATCTGTGCTGCAGATTAACACAGAAAATCATTTTGGTTTGTTCCTCAGTTGTGTGTACAGTGATACAGTGGAAGTCTGTGGGGAAAAGCATTGCAGCAGGATAAAACAGACTATAGAAACTATAGTCACGAGACATTATGTGTCAACATGACAGTAGTGTAATAAAATTATTAGGGCTGTCAGTTTAACGCGTTAACTTAATTCATTAGTTATGAAAAATGAACGCGATTAAAATATTTTAACGCAGTTAACGCACTGGCCCCGCCCCCAGACCTGTAAGTCATCTTACATTTCATACGGTTGACTGTTGACAAACATGATGCAGGGCAACAACTCCATAAATGCAGTTATGCTCTACAATTAAAGCTATTGGGACAAAAAAATGCCCCTGTATGAGTTTTTGTCTCATATTTATATGAGCGAGAGCAATATCACATGAGTGATTTTTGTCCTGAATATCACGAGTTTAAATGTGATTTTATACAACAGTTCAGTACAAAAGAAGTTGATATTGTGTTATATTTTAAACAGAATCTTATGTTTTTGCTCAATTTTGCAGAGAATATATTACCTTTAAAGCCACAGCAGAACTGTTGCGTCTCCGAGCAACACAGCAGTGTTTAGTTTCTGAATGAATCCGCGTTTTGAACGAATCTTGTGAATCAATGATTCAAAGGCCCATTCATAAAGAGAGTCGTTTACTGAATTCCTAAATGAATCAGCCGTTTGAACAAATCGAATGAAGACATTTACCGCCACCTGCTGGCAGATTTATTTTCTTATTTAGAGTATTATTTAATTTAAAATAATAATAATAATAATAACATTAAAGGGATAGTTCACCAAAAAAAATGTAATTCTGTCATCATTTACTCAATCCTGAATGACTTTCTTTCTTTTGTGGAACATAAAAGAAGGTATTTTGATGACTGTTGGTAACAAAGCTGTTTTGGTTACCAACGACTTTCATTGTATGAACAAAAATTCTGAGATGTTTCTCAAATTATCTTCTTAGGCCGTTGTAGCCTAAATGTTTATGTGTAATAAATTTTATGTTGAAAAAACTCTACAATTTGTAATGTCTACTTGATACTTTCTCATTTAACACAAAAATAGCTTTAAATAATCTTTTGTAGGTATTTTCACGGTCAAATTTATTTTGCGATTAATTGCGATTAATTATATTAATTAATCGAAACATCATGTAATTAATTAGATTACAAATTTTAATCGACTGACAGCCCTAAAAATTATCTCCAATTTTTCATCTCATGTTAACTACACTGAGAAAAAAAAAATGGTGTAGGGTTTATTTTGAAACAATTTTCCCTCAGAAACTGCTAGTAAATTTCACAAAAGAAATACAAAAAAATGGCAAGTAACACATTGAACAAGTAAATGTGAAATTTTGAAGCAGAAATTAAATATTGAAATATAATCATTCTGAAATAGTATTTTCTTTTACAACATACTCCAGTACGTGTTTTTTTTTTTTAACAGCTTCAAAAAAAATCATATTTTGGTCACGTGTTGAACATGCAAGCACAAGAAGAATTCAAAAACACTATTTTATTTCGATACAGAGGAAACACTAGGAGATAACTTCTGGGAACACGTGCAACACAACCGTACAAACACAATACCGG